AAATAATTGCTTTTTATAACTACTATGAATGATTTTTAATTTTCATAGTTTATTTTATAATCTTGTATTTGTACTTTACTGTATTTAGTTTATAATTTCGTCACAAAATATTGTTTATAACCGAAGAGAAAATACTCTTTATAAAATAGAAATAAATGTAAAAAATGAATGTGGTTATAATTTCAAAAATATATGAAAAAAAAGAGCATAAAGAACCACAGCACAAGATATAGTTAGTGATATTTAATTATTCTTGCATTACGAATTACAAAAAAACATTAAACGTTTGCCACAATCTGGCCATCTTCAGTAAAATTAATAATATTCTTAAGACGCGGAGTTACATCAAGTTGGAATCAAATTCAACCCTCGTGTGTTATAATTGTAAAGATCGTGTTTGCATCAAACCGACGCTGCTTCATATAATAATGTTAGAATGTTAGAAGTCATGTAGTAAAAAGTGTAGAACGAGAATTTCCAGATTCTAATTTACAATAATTTATTTAATTATTAATATCTTTTAAAACGGAGTATAAAATAAAGGAAACATTACCTGTTTTACAGCAAAATAATCGATGAATTAAAAGTATATTCATTTCACAGATAGAAATTTGTCGTGACACTATGTGTTGTTATTGGTCGTATCACATATTTTTCGGCTATTTATATCCATGAGTCAAATAGTTTAGAAAGTTCTAGAATTGTTTATTAAGTGCGAGGGAGATCTTTCTTTAGAAGAGGAAGATAAACATCAGGCAAACCTTCAGTATCACTTTGTTTATTGATCCCACTTATTTGGTTTTTAATGTGTATCATTTCTGAAATTCTTCGTTTCATCAATGATTGTTCTGTATCTAAAATTTTAATGTTATCCCAATCAAAATCATGCATTTCATTCACACAGTGACGTGAAACAACTGATATCTCAGAAGTAGATTTCTTAATATCAGTCTTGTGTTCTTTAATACGAGTTTTTAATTTTCTCTTAGTTTGGCCCACATATAACGATTCGCAATTCAAACAATTAATCTTATAAACCACCCCACAATGGTCATCCTTAAGCAAGGGATCCTTTCCTGTTTTAATAATTGTATTTAATTTATTCATCGGTTTATAGGCTACTATAAACCCATGAATATATGCGAGTTTTTTTAATTTCTCAGAAACCTTACTTAAGTATGGTATCGTAAAAAATTTTTTCTTATTGGAATCATAATCATTATTATTTACTTCACGATTTTTTTCCGGATTAATTCTATTTTTCAAAGTTTTTATTCTATTGTTAATCGTCGAAAATAAGAGTCTATTAATAACTGTGATACCGAATCAGCTGAAAACAGAGTTGTGAAAGAGGGTGTAAGAGAGGTTAAACGATTCATCTCAGAGAATCCTGAGATATTAATCACGAAAGCGGACAAAGGAAACACCACAGTAATCATGAATCGTGAAAATTATCGGAAAAAAATGTTTGAAATTCTTAAAGATCAGACGACATATAATGTAATAGATAAAGATCCTACAAACAAGATAAATTTAGAAATTAGGAATTTATTAAAAAATTGGAAAAATAAGGAGTACATTGACCCAAGTATATACAAAAAATTCTGTCAAGCTGCCCAATGATTACTCCCTTTTTATGTGCTAATGGATGATTCGAAAAATAATTTAAATATCTCCCCGAATTTGTGGGTTTTTTATACATATCAAAGATGATGTTTCCTTCTTGAATCATTATTTTAACATCTAAAAAATTGATACCGTTTTCATCGCCAAAATCAACGTAAATTTCAGTCTGTCGTTGTATGAATTAAACAAATCTAGAACCTCCTCAACCTTTTCCTCATGTACAGCTAATACAATGTCATCGACATATCGCAAATAAAACAGAGAGATAATATTATTAGTAATGAAAATTTCTTTTTCTAAGTCTTGTAAGACTATATTCGCTAGTATAGGCAATAGAGGAGAGCCCATCGGCATGCCAAAAATTTGCTTAAATATTTTTTTGTCAAATCTAAAAAACGTGGAGTTAATTATGATCATCACAGCTTTAACAAACTCATGCAAAGGAATCGAAGTCTTATTTTCAATCAAGTTCCATCTACATTCAATGCTTTTTAATACTAAGTTCGTAGGTATGTTAGTGTACATGGAGACCACGTCGAATGATATGATATTAAAATTTTTTCCGATAACCTTTCCATTGCTTGTCAACCAAATCATAACTATCCTTAACATAACTAAAATTATTATTATTGCTCTTGTCAATGATTTCTTTTAAGAAGATCGCAAGTGAATAAAAGGCGCTATTAATGCAACTAACAATTAATCTCAGTGGATGACCTTTTTTATGAATTTTTGGCAGACCGTAAGATCTCGGAAGTTCGCAATCAGAAACATATAATTTTTTGAATATGCTTGGGTCAATGTACTTCTTATTTTTCCAATTTTTTAATAAATTCCTAATTTCTAAATTTATCTGTTTGTAGGATCTTTATCTATTACATTATATGTCGTCTGATCTTTAAGAATTTCATACATTTTTTTCCGATAATTTTCACGATTCATGATTACTGTGGTGTTTCCTTTATTCGCTTTCGTGATTAATATCTCAGGATTCTCTGAGATGAATCGTTTAACCTCTCTTACACCCTCTTTCACAACTCTGTTTTCAGCTGATTCGGTATCACAGTTATTAATAGACTCTTATTTTCGACGATTAACAATAGAATAAAAACTTTGAAAAATAGAATTAATCCGGAAAAAAATCGTGAAGTAAATAATAATGATTATGATTCTAACAAGAAAAAATTTTTTACGATACCATACTTAAGTAAGGTTTCTGAGAAATTAAAAAAACTCGCATATATTCATGGGTTTAATATAGCCTATAAACCGATGAATAAATTAAATACAATTATTAAAACAGGAAAGGATCCCTTGCTTAAGGATGACCATTGTGGGGTGGTTTATAAGATTAATTGTTTGAATTGCGAATCGTCATATGTGGGCCAAATTAAGAGAAAATTAAAAACTCGTATTAAAGAACACAAGACTGATATTAAGAAATCTACTTCTGAGATATCAGTTGTTTCACGTCACCGTGTGAATGAATGCATGATTTTGATTGGGATAACATTAAAATTTTAGATACAGAACAATCATTGATGAAACGAAGAATTTCAGAAATGATACACATTAAAAACCAAATAAGTGGGATCAATAAACAAAGTGATACTGAAGGTTTGCCTGATGTTTATCTTCCTCTTCTAAAGAAAGATCTCCCTC